ACCCCGGTCGATGGCAGATAAAGAAAACCCCAACCACAAGGGGGTTTTCCAGGGCCATTGCTCCCTGAAACCTCTCTGAAGGGGCCAGGTTCTGGCGCTGGTCCCTGGTAGGTCTGAACTCCTTAGCTAATGCCACAGTCTAATATAACATACATTAGCCCGATAAGCTCCAGGGAGCCTCCGGGGCTCACCCAGAAAATGGCGTTTCATTACATTCAACGCTAGTTTTTTGTTTGTTGCAAACTTAACTAAAGCAGCTTTAAGTCGTGGCCTATGCAAATGGCTGATTAGTTAGGGCTCCTACCTGTTGGTCTTGTTTGTTAGTTATGTGATGATGTGGCATTCTGTGGTGCTGGTGCTGTGGTGTGTTCTGAATCACTAAATAACATTTGCATATAAGATACATATGAGTCTCACTTTTATAATATAATATGCAAAGATACAGGAAACTGCTAGATTTAACTGCAAGAAAACTGCAAGAAAATTAAGGTCACACAGCTGAAAAGATTATAATCATATTTATGTGGTGGTGAATTCACACTCAACGCTCCACCTACCTTGAGGTGCGAGGAGGGAAGGGGGCGTGTGCTGGGCACTCGATAGTGTTAATCTGTGTGAGATTTTTCTCTACGCCTACCTCCCTTAAGAGGTGGACTACAAGTTTAAAGTCTGCTCACGGCAGTTAAGCATGAGTCCAGTAGAAAAAGGAAAAGCGGGAGCAAACCGCCAGGCCTCCACCACCAAGGGTGAAAACCTGTCCACAATAGGCCGCTGGCTCCTCCTAGTTAAACAGGACGTTAAAACTAATAAAGGATAACCGACGGGTTCTCACAATCAAATATTTATATTTGATGTGGCGCTATGAATTGGAATTCGAATTCCCAAGAACAGCCGCCTTATCAAGATCACATCAACATTTAATAATATGCAGACATATGGTGGAATAATATGGTTGAAGGGTTGACATCAAAGACTGTTTTCTATAACATAACAATTTATTAATAACAAGAGACTAACTACTACATTACCGAGTTTACATTACATTAATGTCAATCCAGTGGCACGATAACAACCAGCTACATAGCAACCCTTGCTGTGAGGCTGCATACTGAACTAACCTGAACACAGGTGTGCCCACTGATGACGCAATATTGCAAAACAAAGAAAAATATCACAGACTAAGTTACACCACAGCGAATGGTTACGTTATTGTACATCAAGTGGCATTTGCAACACAGCTATTCAACAGCCCCTCGAGAAGTGACAGCAGGCTCCATCTTGCTGACAACATGAACTAACTGAACAAATAAGGATATCCACTGAAGACAAAGACACAAGCAGGCAATCAATAGTGTCTCGGTTTCCCTGACAGCTACTATAATCACAAACTTAGGGGTCCTCCCGCCCCCCAGGAGAGACCCACGTAACTAGGCGGGAGTCCAACAGTGACTCCCCCCTATCACAACCCCGTGTGAACACTCTTTGCAACTCCCAATAAGAAGTTGCCCTGTTGTAACCAGATACACCGACAGGCAAGGCGGGATTCTGGGACACAGCTCAACAGATCCCTAGATGACTCTACTCTCGTCACCAGACGACAACCAAAAGAAATTGCCTTAAGTGATTAATTACGTTAATTGACTGATCGCAGCAGTCAGCAACAAAGTACTACGGTAATCACAAACAATTGTCTCCCACTAGACAACAACATGATGATACTCTACGTTAATCTTTAACACTTGTCTCTCTCTTGTTAACAATAACTCAACATATTACACCACACTTGACTCCTTGCAAGTATTCAGTGAGTAATTCTCAATTAAGGTCAAACGGACCACTAATTACATCCCCATTGAGTTACGTTAACTAAGCCTACCCTAACTTGGTAGCTTCTCCACAGTCTGTGTCAAAAAATTACTAGTGAGTGTTAATTACCCTAATTAGGGCACTAATTACTGCTGAGCCATTAATTAACTGTCACCAGGACCGATAATTAATCATCCAGAAATACGTCTCACTCCGCACTGCCTAAGCAGGTCTCACCAAACACTGTGAATTCACGGGAAAGGAGTTAATTACCCTAATTAACAAGATGTGCCAATAATCCACTGTCCTCAGACAGGATATGATTAATACAACGATTTATGCTAGCTCCATGACCTCGCTTTACTGAGTCACCGGAGCTCTCCAATGCTAATTACTCCACTAATTAACATGAGCCACTAATTGCTATACCCCTGAAAGGTAATTAGTCTCGAGCATATTACGTTAACACAAGTACTGACAGACTCTGATAGAACCTCTCCCACTACGTGAATTCATGATGAGAAGGCTAATTACATAATTAGCTAGAGTGGTCAATTAGTTGTCACATGGACAATTAATTGCTCCCGAGACGTATCTCATTCTCGCTCAACACTGTTCTCTCTTAACAGCCCTCACTCACTCCACAATACTAAGTGTGCACCCCTTATCCAGTTAATTACCCCTTTACTTAATTAACTCACTGAATCCTTAAGTCCTCAACACAACTTAAAGAAACAAAGTAACCCCAGCGTTACATAGGTCACACTACAATGGCATGCAACATCATAACAGCACTGCCCACATATGGTTGCGGCTACTGCAACTCGCTAATTACTGTGCCCACACAATAATGACACACGGTTGTGCAACACACAAAAGTATACTAATATTACTGCCCCTCCCCCTCTTTTACTTCTTGCACCTGATTGCAAAGGAATACTGTGAACACACACACACTTGCCTCAGCAAGGCAATTAACCCATCAATTGCCTGCTCTCAATAAGTACTGTGAATTCCCCTGAATAATCCTAGAGGTCCCTTAAACCCTCAACACAGTTCCTGGGGCAATAATATTGTATAAACTGAAACAATACTGCACAAACCTGCAACACAATGATGCCGTCAGCATACCCCACATGCTAATGACATCATTAGGCAATCAGTCAGCAATCACACCTACTGACTTACCACACAACACAGTACATAAACATGCAAATGAACACATAGGAATGGCATTCACATAATCAATGAAAATTATATCACCAAGTAATGTGTAACTATCTACACAGACTTCAGGGGTCCCCACTGACATCCCTGCCTACCTCTAATGATTATAATTTTACGGTACTCTATGGCATTAATCCAGCCTGAACGATTATATAGAATCGACAGGCTGGATCACTTATATGGTAAATCTCTACACTGACTGGTTACATACTCTAGTCAGTCTACTAACATACAGAGTGGTCCCGTGTATAATATCTATCTCCAGGTACCGCCCCTATCCAACACCTGGATCCCCTGACAGCTGCCACTCAGCTGCTTTTCTAGCCTGGCGAGGCTCTTGAGATAACTCTTACCGGGAATTTCACCGGTACCCATCACACTGTAATAGTACTTATTTCTACTCCTTTCTACTGCCCTCTTTCCCTTATTTTTCCTCATTTCCCAAGTCACTACTACACTAGCGGACAACACTTAGCTGGCTTGCTCCTCATGCGTCAACCAGATGTGGCCCTAGGCTGTCCCGGGAAAGTGGCCAAGGCATGTGGCCACCTCGTGGCCCTAAGGGGGTAGCCACGGGTAGCGCGTGACATCACAGCACCCCACCCGGGCTGAGCTGGTGCGCGGGGTGGGGTGGGGGTTTGGCCGGGGAGGCCTGGAGGGAGGCCCCCCCCCCCCTTGCGGCTGGCCAAGGTGGGCGGCGCGCACATGGCGCTTGCCTCAGGCTGGCTGGCTGGCACCCACCGGCATACACACGTGGATGGGAGATCACCTACACTCCCATCAAACCAGCATGCTCGCTCGTACACTCGGGTGACAATGGCCGGCGGCGTCACCACATGGACACCGCCAGGTGGAATTCAAAGTCCAACCGGGGCCTGTATTAACACCCCACTTACACTGCCCTTATTCCACCAATTGTCCATTGTCCATTAACACTAGACAGGATACTCAGACCCGAGGGATGAGGGATCAATCTGATACACCATGAGGCCTGACAGCTGCCTCATGGTGAACACTGTAAACTGTCTCTTAGCTTGTTACTGTTCCTTCCGTACTCATGGGCCCCACTTTCATGCACATTGGGCCTTGACACAACCCAGGATGGCAGAAGTGCTATCCACGATGAGTAACAAGGGATGACACAGCGATTAACGGGAAGGGGGGGAGGTGGCAGCGCCACCCCCACCCAGCTACGTCTTTCTCCACTCGCTGCCCAGCTCAAACTGAAGATTTGGCGGGCTAAGGGAACTCAAAATGCCCATCTCTCCCCCCCTACCTATGTTGACCAATCAGCACTAAGCCGGCACTGTTCCCTCATGCCGCTCCCAATCACAGCTGTTCGCGCCAAAACTCAGCTAGGAGCAGAGATGCCTAAAACAATCACAGATGGCCTCGCCCTGCGGCGTCCCGTGACGTCACAAGGAGGGGGAGGCCTAGGACTGGCGCGATGTCTCACATGGTGGGGGGGGGGGGGGCGACGTTCACCCCACTGTCCCCACCACCTCTAATGGTTTTAGTCAATTATCCTCTCACACTCACTCACTCTCAACTCCAATCCTATTTTCACAGAAACAGGAAAAGTCTGTAACTCCCTCTACAGAGTAATCACAGACTTCTTGCTAGCCTTAAATGATAGTCCATAGCATGAGCTTTCATCCAACACCCAACAAGCATATGTTATTTTGAAAGCTTCAGTTTCTAGAGTGACTAGTCTAATCTAGAAACTAGGAAAACTAGCTGAGGGATCTAGATCCCTCACAATCTGAACCCCCTTTTAAACCCAGTCCTTCTAGGTCGTTGATTTACTTAACTCACGGGTACCTGTTTACTACTAGGTGAACAGGGGTATAAAATGTTTCCAAATGTTTCCTTCTGCCTAGGAGTTGAATTCAAATGTAATATTATTTATATTTGTTTTCATTATAAATTGTTTAATTATCAATCTCATTATTGTTGTTATCTTGCAGGTGCCACACATGGAGTACAGCCGCAAACGTTTACGTTCAAAACTCGAGTGTCTAGAACGCTGCTTAAATCAAGGGTCTTCCTTTGTCTCAGATGGCCGCGTGGAAAGTGCCTGGGTTATCCTAAAATCTCAAGCAGAACGTCAAGAAGAAATAAATGGCTGAGAAATAATTGCATCCTAAGATATTTTCAGGTATCTGTGGTGTAGTTGGAAGCTCACTGCATTTAATACTGTAGGACTTGCATCAAGTTCAACCACTTGTTAAATTTGCCAGACGATGCACTGGCTCTGTATGCTTTTACTGTGTTTTCAATGACACTTTAGACACTAGACACAAATAAGTGTATGGAACTACAACCACACTCAGTGAAAAGTTCATTTGGTGTAAATTTGTATTACTGTATATGGGTGGTGCATTTTTATGAAACCATTCAATAAACAACATATGGAAACATGATTCATTGGGTTCCCTGTATCATTATTGCTGAGTGTTTGCTAGTAAGCTTTAATGTTTTGTAATTTATCTGGTGATTCTTATGAAGACTCTGTTGCCATTATGGTTATACTACAAAATTGAACAAGAGTCGGTTTTACATGTACAATATATAGATTTCTAGAATATTTAGTTGAAAAATTAATTTCTTAGTGATGCTTTATAAGGTAGTTATCCCATTTAACTAGGAATGGTTATTAGTTAATGAGACTATAGTTATATACAATGTAGAAAAGGTGCATAAATTATATTTTTCTGAAAGCTAATTAAATTTAGCTTAAAATATATTGTTACACTATTGTAGTGAAGTGTAAAAATTCCATTTTTTTTTTTTACTTTTTTTTCTTAATGCAACATTATAAGCAACCCAGCTCAAGGATGTTTATAGTGAAAGTGAAACTTGTTCTTACACAGTGAGAAGTGTGAGTGAGAATGGTCTTACACAGTGAGAAGTGTGAGTGAGAATGGTCTTACACAGTGAGAAGTGTGAGCGAGAATGGTCTTACACAGTGAGAAGTGTGAGTGAGAATGTTCTTACACAGTGAGAAGTGTGAGTGAGAATGTTCTTACAGTGAGAAGTGTGAGTGAGAATGTTCTTACAGTGAGAAGTGTGAGTGAGAATGTTCTTACAGTGAGAAGTGAGAGTGAGAATGTTCTTACACAGTGAGAAGTGTGAGTGAGAATGTTCTTACAGTGAGAAGTGTGAGTGAGAATGTTCTTACAGTGAGAAGTGTGAGTGAGAATGTTCTTACAGTGAGAAGTGAGAGTGAGAATGTTCTTACAGTGAGAAGTGAGAGTGAGAATGTTCTTACAGTGAGAAGTGTGAGTGAGAATGGTCTTACAGTGAGAAGTGAGAGTGAGAATGATCTTACACAGTGAGAAGTGAGAGTGAAAATGTTCTTACAGTGAGAAGTGAGAGTGAGAATGTTCTTACAGTGAGAAGTGTGAGTGAGAATGGTCTTACAGTGAGAAGTGTGAGTGAGAATGATCTTACACAGTGAGAAGTGTGAGTGAGAATGTTCTTACAGTGAGAAGTGTGAGTGAGAATGTTCTTACAGTGAGAAGTGAGAGTGAGAATGTTCTTACAGTGAGAAGTGAGAGTGAGAATGTTCTTACAGTGAGAAGTGTGAGTGAGAATGTTCTTACACAGTGAGAAGTGAGAGTGAGAACGGTCTTACAGTGAGAAGTGAGAGTGAGAATAATCTTACACAGTGAGAAGTGTGAGTGAGAATGATCTTACACAGTGAAAAGTGTGAGTGAGAATGATCTTACACAGTGAAAAGTGAGAGTGAGAATGTTCTTACAGTGAGAAGTGTGAGTGAGAATTATCTTACACAGTGAGAAGTGTGAGTGAGAATGATCTTACATAGTGAGAAGGGAGACTGAGAATGGCCTTACAGTGAGAAGGGAGAGTGAGAATGTTCTTACAGTGAGAAGTGAGAGTGAGAATGTTCTTACAGTGAGAAGTGAGTGAGAATGTTCTTACAGTGAGAAGGGAGAGTGAGAATGTTCTTACAGTGAGAAGTGTGAGTGAGAATGGTCTTACAGTGAGAAGTGAGAGTGAGAATGGTCTTACAGTGAGAAGTGTGAGTGAGAATGTTCTTACAGTGAGAAGTGTGAGTGAGAATGTTCTTACAGTGAGAAGTGTGAGTGAGAATGTTCTTACAGTGAGAAGTGTGAGTGAGAATGGTCTTACAGTGAGAAGTGTGAGTGAGAATGTTCTTACAGTGAGAAGTGTGAGTGAGAATGGTCTTACAGTGAGAAGTGTGAGTGAGAATGTTCTTACAGTGAGAAGTGTGAGTGAGAATGGTCTTACAGTGAGAAGTGTGAGTGAGAATGTTCTTACAGTGAGAAGTGAGAGTGAGAATGTTCTTACAGTGAGAAGTGTGAGTGAGAATGGTCTTACAGTGAGAAGTGAGAGTGAGGTGTTGTGAAAGGTGGATAACATATAATATGAAGGTGGTGCAGTTGACCAATGCACTGTCTTCCTCTCTAGTTTGGGGCTCTTGCTGAAGGTCTTACTTCCAATCTTTGGTTCTAAGTGCTTTGTTCTTTGACAATTTAATTAAATTGATTCCCAGTGCAGACTTGTATAGTATATCACTGATACCAAAATTAATTAATGTAATTAAAACATATATTTTGATCAGAATGTAATTATAATTTTCAGTTATTACTATTACTCAGTTTTGGGTACAGTGTAGATCATACTGTAATTAACACTTAAATATATTACACACAATACACACA